TGGGATGCAGGTCGCTTCTAGGATATAGCGGACTGCGTCCCACGCTTATCCCCCGAAGGTAACTCAGGATATATCTGACTCCGATCTATTAGCCATGACTGAAGATTGTTTCCAAGATCTATCTGCCATCCGTCACAAGACGGAATATAAATATTTATCAAAGGCAGAATTAGACAAATTAATACATAATTTACAGCGTGAAACAATAGAGCATGGAGATATGCAACTAGGGCATCTTAAATGCGGATCAGTAGCAGAGTAACGTAATTTACAAACAGTGCAGATTTTTATTAACGCAAACTGCTGAGCAAACACGGCGAACCGTGAATCAAGCAGCAGAAACACGAATAATTATCAATGCATGTTGAATAAGGATACTAGTTACACCTCTATAGATGAATATAAGAGGTAACAAACTAAATATAAATAAAGGATATAGTGTGCAGGGAGACACAGGTGCTCTCACGTCTTGCTCACTGGGCGAAGAAGGAGAGAGTGAGGCACATGGGTGGAGGTGGCACCCTCGTTCCCGCGCTTGTGGAAAGGAGGTAACTCATGGTGAGTTCTAATTAGTGATTTTTTATTGAAGGGAACTTCAATAGGGAAATACACGTGTTCCACTATGTTCGCAAAGAAGAAGAAGACAAGCAATAAGCATGAGTCAGGATAAGGAAAAATAAATTGTTCTCTTTACCATATGGTTGTAATACTGCCCACGTGACGCTAATTTGTACCTCACTCACAGAATTTAGCAGTTGCATGTCATCGTGTCACATTTGAGTAGATCGATGTGCACAATGCCAATCACTGGAATGTCTGGTCTGAACTTAATTATTTACAGTACGTCATTTAGCTAGAATATTGCTAAAACAACAGTCTCCATTGAAGTCATCGCTTTCTAGAAGTAACCTATCCATAGAATGTCCACTGAATCCAATGACAACAACTCAAAATATAGAAACTGATATTTAATCATTACAGCTACTTTGTCCATAAAGGCCACCAACTTCACGTACAGGTTCATGGACAAATAAATAAAAGTTCTGTATCAACGGCCAGGTAAAACATGAACTATTCAGACTTTTTTCTTAGAGAAATACATACAATTACATTTGGGCGACATCATGTGATTAACCTGAGTGCATGGTTCACAATCAAAATCAAATATGTATATTTTTAAACACAAGGACATAAAATGAGCCAAATTTGTGTAAAAGAAACTTATTGTTCATATACAAATTAGGGTGTTTTCTCCGAAAATGATTATGATCTGACATAATGAAGAAAAAGAAAATTCCAACATCTGCAATCTGAAGCTGAAAATATGTCACACATTACAGAAAGTACAGAAGTACATTAACCAACACATACACAGAATGACACTGTGCTTTGTTAATTTATAATATCAGTGCCTTTACCACCATTGATCAACAGAGAACAGACCACATAAATTGAATATATTAAAAGAAAATATATGAAATATGATATTAGGTGAGACTTTTATCACAGTAATGCTTATCAATTGCAATGTTCAACCATTCTTACATCTCAAAACACAGAAGATACAACACCACATCAATAACATACCTTCAGGAATTCACTGTTTCTCATCATTATAATATACGAGGCCTTCAATAACACATTTAAACAGTACAACATTCGGAACTTGATTGAACATTTTGGACATTGTGTACATTTTCAATATTGGATATTAGTTCGCATCAACATTTCATTGTTTTTCACAAAGTATGAAACTGTATAGGTCATGATTTTCAATGTAATTGTAACTTTTTCGTATTAATGAAAAGAATCTTATGAACGCATAATGTAACCTAGACAACTGGCATCACTGAACATTGGGCATGTTTTCAGTTTATTCTTAATGATAGGCAAAAGAAAATTACATATAAGAAATAGATTCAAATTGATGTGCTGCCTGCTAATTACAATGGTTGTAAACAATAAATGTAAACATTCTCTTTCAATAATTGTATAATTGGATTAACAAATTAACCTAAAAGGAAAACATTTTACTGAGACATAAGAGAAAGCTTGTCTTTTGTGTTTTAGCAGATACCAAGCCTTAAATTGACATTATAGTTTTGTTTTGGTACACTTTTTTGGTACTAACCTGATATCCAGATACCAATTTGTCTCAGTCTTTTGTCTTTTTATCCAAGACCTTGTTAATAAAGGAAAGAGTGTAAATATATATTACAAAAATCCCTGTATATGCAAATCTACTTTATATCTATGAGACAACATTCAAAGATGAAATATGAAAATAATTCAGAGAAATCTGTGCCATGCAAAAATGATAATACACCAGTATATATAAGTGCTGAGACATATTGACGGGTATAGTAATAACTGTTCTATGTCTCTTGCTATTTTACCAGAGTAGAGTAACAGACATAAGCCCTAGAATTATGACCATCGTAGAGACAACATGAATCTGTGAACATATGTTGAGTGAGTTGAGTTTTACGCCACTTTAAGCAATATTCTGGCAATATCACGGCCGGGGACACCAGAAAAGGGCTTCACACATTGTACCCATGTGGGGAATCGAACTTGGCCATTCAGCGTGAAGACTGAATGCTTTGCCCTCTAGGCTACCCGACTGTCCCTAAACATCACATTACAAAGGGACCAAAGAGATGTTGTTGTCCAAAAGTAACATCCACATCTGCCTCAACAAATTTGATCTGAACAGGAAACATGTACATCCAGAAGCAACAAATAAAATTAACTCTTAAGACATGAGGTCACTGACTGCAATCAGATATATACACATATATATGTTACATAGAATATGTATAACCAGGGATTATGTATAATCCCTGAAATATTAAGTGATAATGTATAATGTCTGATTCACTTAGTGATTATACATAATCACTGAAATTTTCAGGAATTATACATAACCACTCCAAAATAGACTAGTATTTTAGACATTTCCTCCTTGTTTGTTTCCCCTTTGGTCCCTGATAGCTATTGATGCACTATTGCCCTCAAATTAGTCAATCTCAAATTCTCTCATGATCAGTAAGACGGAAGTTATACATAATCCCTGGTTTTACATATTCACTGTAACATATTACAGGAAATATGTATAAACAGTAAATATGTATAATTACCGAAAATTTCAGTAATTATGCATAATTCCTGAAATTGAAGAAACAAAATGTATAAACATAGAGTGAATCAGACATTAAACATCATCACTGAAAATTTCATGGATTATACATAATACCTGGTTTTACATATTCACTGTAACATATACATGACAGGTCCAAGTGGAAGCATCTACAATGAAAGGAGAAAGAAATTTCCCAAATATGGGGTGCTAAAGACAGAGTTGAAAAGCTTTCTTTCTCACAATTGACTGTGGGACACTTGGAAATTTGGAGGAGTTTGTAATCTTATTTACAGAACATTATTTATCAGATCAAGTAAATATTAGTACATGTATTTCAGTATTTATCAAGGCACAAATGTTAATTGCAAAGAATAACTCCATTTCTGCATACAGAACAGATACATGATATTATTCCGTCATTCGAAAAAAAACCATAAACATTCTCACTGGCAAGCTTTCTCATTTTAGAAAGTGGAGTTCTACAAAGAGTATCTTCTTATCCCCATTACTTCATACCGACGGAAAGGTGTTTTTATTCTGTTGTTCCTGAAAAACATCCATATTCTCACTTGCAAGCATTCTTATTTCAGAAAGAGGAGTTCAATAACCATGAGAACTTTTATATTGAAATGAAATACAAGGTCACTTGACAAAAAACATCCAGGATGCAATAGCAGCCTCAAATGGCTGAAATGTTAGCTCCTGTGTTCAACATTCAAACAGTGCAACTCTTGAACAATACGTAATAAAATATGAGTTGATGCATTTAAAAACACAAATTCATCGACTGCATGTATATATTAGGCACACAAAATATCTCAGGCCTGAATGTCAAACATTCATGACACCGTCACACAAGGTATTACTGAAGAGCCATCACAAACACATGCAAAGGCAAGTCAAATGTTCATCTAAAACCATAATACCCAAGTACTGTTATGGTGACAGTGAGCCCACCTGGCTCAATACATCAGTACTGTGTCAAATCATGACTCCCTAGTCTCACCATACCAATTGTCGGCAAAACGCAGCCTCAATATAATACATTAATAGTATAATGAATCATGCCACTGCTGTTTTTCAGCCAAGGTACATGTACATATATGGTGGTTTTATGAAGGCCAGGTTGTATTTTTTTCAATAGACATAAATGGAAGATGGACGAAATATATTAATATTTCACTATAACACAGACTAACAGTCAAATAGCTCAACACGTAAAACGTATTATATATAGCAATCAGCTGAGCCAACATGCTACACATGATATTATGACAAATTTATAATCATTGAAAATTGTGATGGAAACAACCCAATACAATATATTTCATGTATTATGATAGAATCCATCTCACATATAATGTTTCTTATTGTATCAAAATCGTTAGAAGTAATTTAATTGGGTGTGCTTCTAGCTATTCAGTGTAGATTTGGATGTACAGCTGATTGCTACCGTATATGACCGTCTATAAGACGACCCCATGGATAAGACGACCCCCAAACTTGACCCTTAAAATCAGTGTTTGTTCACGTGAAGTGATACGATGTTGTTTTCTTACCCCTGGAAAAAAGTTTGACGAAAGCGTAACCCATGGATAAGACGACCCCCTTCTACAGACTGCTTTTTTTGGTCCTCAAAATTCGGCTTATAGACGGTCATATACGGTAATTATCGCTTAGTTACAAGAATATCCATCTCATACATCTCATCTGTGAATACAAAACAATGGCAAGCTGAGAAGGAGATCTAATTTAAACGGTAAATTATTACGCCTTGCAATATTTCATCTCAAAACCAAAATATTTTTTTACAATTCAGTTCATACATTCATTCATACTGGAATTCCACAGAAGGGGACAGTGTCAATGTAGGTTTTGTCTGTACATAATACATGAAACATTTTTTTGGCAAAATACTGAATCCCCTATAAGGGGGTGAGCATTATACTTGGGTGCACAATATACTCAAGAAGGTATATCTGTTCAGCTGTAAAAAGTGGATACAAAAGCATTCAAGGTAACTGGGTTTTTATATAGTGTAGAATACACAAGCCAAAGTGTCATTGTTATTAACGGGAATGTTCTACCTGACAGAGGTATACAACATGATTGTCGTCTTTCACAAATCATTTGGTGATTAATTGGAATTTTACCTGTTACAATGGTTTTTAAAATGCTTATTCTATATCTGTTCCGCCTTGTTACTAATTTATGAATTCCCAGCTTTTCATAACTACATTTTTTCAAATTGTTTTTTTCTTGTGTGTGTAACAGTCACTATTTCAGATCATAGAAGGTTTTACATGATTTCTTAATGTCACATCAGTGTAGAACATTCTCTACTTCAGCATGTTCAGCATATACACATGGCAAAGTTTCCAATATACATGATATAGTATAGGCATATACTGGTGGGCAGTCCTACATATAACACTTGTGTCAATAGCAACAGGCATCATTTTGTCTACATAAATACTGTACAGACAAAACAAACAGTTATTCTTGGACCCTTGAAGAGTAAGGCCGAGTCCCTCAAACTGCCAACCATATGACTACATTTGGAAATCTTCATTCGTCACTTTACAGAAAAAAAACTATTTGCTGTAGACTGCAATTTAAAACTTTAAGGTTTAAAAATTTTGAGGTTACAATTATCTTGGTCAGTATTGACCATGTTTAGGAACGGTGCTGAAAAACATAGAACTTTCTGTATTATATTAGAATTGTTGTGGCTTTGTGATGTGGCTTTTCTTCAACAAAACAAAAATACCTGAGATACAAACTGAAGCTTTGTGGTTAATTTCAGAATGTTGTATAACATGTTTTCTCAGATGCCTAATGGGCAAAACTGCTACATTTTGTTGCGAAACATGTGCCTCAATAGTAAAGTCATGATATCATCCACATAACTACGTTGTATTTATGTCACAGTCATGTCAGAAGCCATATTCCATAATCAATAGGATTATAAGAGACCCAAACACAAGACATATCTAAAACGTTGAGTATATCACGTAACGACATAAAAAACTGTACACATATATATCACAGGATAGTGCCATAGTTTTTTTCATACCATGCAGTCTGTTCTCCTCAAATACATGCATATACGGTATGTTTTGAGGTATTGATTGATATCTGATCTTCAACTACGATGCATGTATCTTCATGGCACAATATGTCTTTGGTCGATCCTTGATCCCATAGTTTTCTACCCTGGTAAAACATACTACCTACCAAGGACATTGTCCGTAAGGCTACTGGACTCCAAATCCATCAAGAAACAGGAAATTCTATATTTCAGTTTCTTTCAAAATAGGAACAAGACGATGGAGTTCCTCTTCTATGCATTCTTTAAGTTCTGGGGGAGTTCCCTCCTCAAATATTTCAGCACCGTTCAGGTTTGGCGCGGATCTCTTTTCTCCTTCGTCAAGCTTGGCCATAATTTTCTGAAGCATGTCTTCTCGTTTCCTCGATGCCTTCAGCTCATTCTGCAGCAGGGCCTCATTCACCAGCTGCTGGGCATGCATTTGTGTTGCACGCCTTTTGTTGATATTTGATCGGCTCTCCAACATTTCCCTCAACATGGTTTTTCTCAAAGCATTGTCCTGAAAAGAAAGTTTTCAAACTTAAAACAACAAATGTCATCAGTTCAAGAACGTCTACAGGCTGTCTGAAATAAACACATTTATTACTCTTTGACTGTGGTGATGTAGCTGAGAGGTTGAAGTACCGGTATTTGCTCTCAGCAGAAAAGGGGTTTGATGTCCCGAACACGAAAAATATAAGATCAGTTTCAGGTGTCTGCTTCCTTTACATTGCATGGATAACACTAAAACCCAAGAAAAACCATACTCACTCAGGGATTTACAGGACGTGAATTCCTGTGTCCCATATACATAAAAATTGACAATGGACGCAACAAAATTTATAAGCGTATCCACAGGGACGCAGAAAAAATCCAAATACTTTTTGTAAAAGTTCCAATCAAGTAACAATATGGTTTCAAAGAGATTGCTACTCGCTGGGTTATGGTATCATTTGCAATTCAATTACTGTAACAATTAATGTGATGTTCATGATACACAAGACCAATAACATTATTAATAATAATAATAATTAAATGTCTGGACCCCCATTTTGTTGTCCAGGACCCCTGAAAATTAAGAGCATGAGTCCCAGGGACCCTCAAACACAGAACTCAAGGTAAATCCCTGCTCACTCACTCACAATCTTTATGACTGACTAAGTTTGGTTTTACGCAGCTTTTAGCAATATTTCAGCAACATCACGGTAGGGGACACCAGAAATGGGCTTCACACATTGTACCCATGTGGGGATTTCGAACCCGGGTCTTCGGCGTGACACACTGTCTTTATGAAGATATTGGTTATTGAAACAAAACTGAAATCAAAACATTGTTGCAAGCTAAATATGTACTCATCATTTTAATGGAAATAGATTCTGAAAACCTTGTTCTTCAGATGAACATATTTCTATCTTCATATATAACCACATGGGCATTAGCTGAGCTCTCAACATTCTACAAACCTACGTTGTTAGGTTCAAATCCCCAAATTGTTTGACTGTGTTTCCAGCTTTGTCAGCACCAGTGGTCAGTATTGATTTAATCAGAGTGGTATACATATAGGGCATGGGGCATGGTGGGCTGTCTAAGGCGCCAGACTAGTGATCCAGCGAGCTTGAGGTGCCGGGATCGAGCCCACCTGTGACTGGGTGTAAAAACCTTGGAGTCAACTTTGTGTGCAGACGCTTTCAGTGTTGTCACAACCCCTAGTGTACAGTACACAAGCCTGTGCACTTAAAACAACTCACGAATCCGTTGGTATATGACCAGATGCTGGCCACATGAATACGTGCAAACACCTAGTTGCGGTCACAGCAACGTGCAGTGAACTTGGACAAAGTACTGTGACTATGTGTAGCAGTTCACCCAGCTGTGAATGGGTACCTTGTAAGGACGAGAAGTAACTTGGTGCGCCTAGTGGCTGTAAGAGTTGTATGCTCCCCAGGGAGTTGAGATTGATATTACAATGTGCCATTGAGATTGACACCCAATGATCAAGGCAAATAAACCCAGCGCCTTGAGCATGCACTAGTTGCGTGGATATGTGCACTGTATAAATAACCTATAGTAATATAAAAATAAAACTGCATTAACCTAGGCTTTTTTCCAACAATAAGCTGACACACTGTCACATAAATGAAATACTTTAAAAGGAGAGCTAAACCAAACCCACTAAATCAGCATCTTGCAGCATACTAGTATATATTCATTTTGTATATATTGATGCTGATATTCAACTCAAAGTCTACAACAAAGGTGAAAAAGAAATTCCTAGATAGGTACTAGAAATTGCCTGATTCATGTAATTAGTAACAAGAAGTAAAGTCATGGATTTGTAGAGGCAAGATATGTACCACTGATGAAGTACCAATATTAACAAAGCATCTTTTGCATACATTGCATAACTGCATTGAACGTTTTTAAGAACGACTTAATATTTTGAACAAGCAAGAACTTAAACAAATCCCAGTTTTGAACATTTGTTTTCAATTTTTCTTCTTATTTGACTCCAAGGGCACTTAGTCTAAAATCTCAGACAGAATAGCATTCATAGATGCAAAAGCAGTACACTTTTTCATGATGCATAAACAGTCAATATATTTCCTCTGTATGCAGTAATATGTTTGAAAATCAATATTAGGCAGTAGCTTGCTAAATGTGTGTTAAGCAGTGTTTTGGTTCATGTTGTATAAAGCAATAATATTGTTCATTGTCAAACTGATGTTTATTCCTAGAATGAGTGAGTGAGTGAGTTTAGTTTAACGCAGCACTCAGCAATATTCCAGCTATATAGCGGCGGTCTGTAAATAATGGAGTCTTGACCAGACAATCCAGTGATCAACAGCATGAGCATCGGTCTGCGCAATTGGGGACCGATGACGTGTCAACCAAGTCAGTGTGCCTGACCACCCGATCCTGTTAGTCGCCTCTTAAGACAAGCATGGGTTATTGAAGATCAATATTCTAACCCGGACCTTCACATGTCTATTCCTAGACGTAAAGTTATAAAAGTTATTTATTATATATACTGACTAAACAAATAAAGGAACGCAGGAAAATTCAAGAGTTCCTTTCATATTTTCCAGTTTTTTTAATCACCAGCTGTGAATAGCTAATGGGAGGAAATCTGAGAAATAAATAAAGGAACACTGCCATGAAATGGTGTTCCTTTATTTGTTTCCCTCAGTATATATCAACAATTATTTTCAATTTTTTAAATATATTCCAAGAAGAGCCCAAAACAGTTTCTAATGTCAGGTGTCATGCCCCATCATGCTAGAGTTCATGTTTTTCAAAAATTATACTCAAGGGTCTTAGAGACAGACAAGCTAATTCTATGTGAAGCAATATTATGGTGAATTCTCCATAAAGCAGTATAGTCAGCAGTTTTGTATAATGCAGGACCTAGATTTTCAAAACACTCTTAGAGCTAAGATAGTTGTAAGTTAATGTTAATGTTTGGCACTTACGACCATCATAACACTAGGAGAGCTTCGATAATCTAGGTCCAGTATATTTAGTATTTGGCACAGGCAGTATGTTTATTAATTCTGCATAAAGCAGTATATATATATATTATTTTGCACAAACAGTATGTTTATCAATTCTGTATAAAGCAGTATAAATATATATATATATCATTTTGTAGAAGCAGTATGTTTATCAATTCTGTATAAAGCAGTATAAATATATATATATATCATTTTGTAGAAGCAGTATGTTTATCAATTCTGTATAAAGCAGTATAAATATATATATATATCATTTTGTAGAAGCAGTATGTTTATCAATTCTGTATAAAGCAGTATAAACATATATATATATATCATTTTGTAGAAGCAGTATGTTTATCAATTCTGTATAAAGCAGTATATTTATTAGTCTGCATAAAGTGCTATACTCAGCAGTTTTGTATAAATAGTATATTTACTATTTGTCGCAAGCAGCACGTTTATCAATTTTGTATAAAACAGTACATACATATTAATTTGCAGAAGCAGTACATTTATCAATTCTGCATAAGCAATATATATATATATACTATTTTGGCACAAGCAGTACATTTATCAATTTTGTATAATGCAGTATATATTATTTTGCAGAAGCAGTACATTTATCAATTCTGTATTAAGCAATGTATATATATATTATTTTGCAGAAGCAGTACATTTATCAATTCTGTATTAAGCAATATATATATATTATTTGGGCACAAAGAGTATGTTTATCAATTTTGTATATAGCAGTATATATATTATTTTGCAGAAGCAGTAAAGTTATCACTTCTGTATAAAGCAGTACTAGTGTTAATTCTGGGTTAATCTGGGAAGGCCATGTGACAAGTGTACACAAGGTCTCTAGCCTACAAAAACCTAAACTTACACCATCATCAAGGCTGCATTTATGACGAGGAAGCTGTAATGAATTCATGGAGATCATGACGAAGGCCACAAAACAGTCTACCTCATCCAATAAAACTTCACTTTCATATATGAATTGAACTTACCACTTTAGGAATAAACCTTTTAATACTTTTGTTCTGTATTGCTGATCAGATGATAATGTAAGTTTGTGATGCTATGGTATAGGGGTTGGCGTTCTGGGAAGATAGGGGCGGTGGGATAGCCTAGTGGTTAAAGCGTTCGCTCATCATGCTGAAGACCAGGGTTCGAATCCCCACATGGGTACAATGTGTGGAGCCCATTTCTGGTGTCCCTTCGATGTGATATTGCTGGAATATTGCTAAAAGCGAAAACCAAACTCACTTACTCACTGTGGGAAGATATTTTATTTTACGTAAAATGAGTGTGGAGTTGTGGTTTTGAAATAACCCTGCCTAACCTAAAGACCCACGATTGCAGTGCAAAGTTCAAATGGCCTTGCAATAGCTGTATCGTTAAAATCGGCCATCGCATCAGGGCTCAATATCATGTTCAAGGTCAATCAGATTGCTTTTTGTGAATTAGAGAACTGAATTACTTTTGCTCATGACTGTAAGAGATGTTTCAGCTGTGCATTATCACAATAATATTGTTTCAGCATGAAATTGAAAATGTAATTTTTTAAGTAAAAATGATATTTTATACGGGACCTCAGTGCTCGCCCAACCTTGAAAAGTGAGAGAGTGACAAGTAAGGCACGTCACATGACTGGTTTGCGTGGGAAAGGGCAAAGGGAGGTAACTCGTGGGTGAGTGTATTTATATGTCCGCTTCGGGAACTTCAAGGGATTCAAGTGTTCCACTACCATTCGAAATTGAAAGGGAGATAAGCAAAAGATCATGAGTCAGGATAAGGAAAAATTCCCTTGTTCAGGGAAATTCAGAGACAGTTTGTATCATCTCTGTTATAAACGTTTTTTGATTAGTACTCTATAGAATCAAGTACTAAGTATTGTATCAAGTTGATCTGATGATGGAGCAAAAATTTTGTGTGCATTTTTCAACTGAAACAACAACACTCATTATTGCTGCATAGTTTCACATAGTATGAGGGATTTTCTGGAGTGAGTGAGGCAAGTTTTACGCCCTTTTAGAAATATTCCTGCAATATCACGGCAGGGACACCAGAAATGGTGTACTCATGTAGGGTATAGAACCAGGGTCTTCAGCGTGACAAGCAAACGCTTTAAACACTAGGCTACCCCACCGCCCCAGATTTTCTGGACTAAGTGCAGCTTGTTGTTAGGGGGAGACAACAGCTGAAGGGTAATTTCAATGTAACCATGATTTGTAGTTTGGACTGGTTTATCTGATAGGATGATAATTTTAGGAAGTTTAGATGAACATGACTTTGCTGAAATAAAAAAAAGATTAAATAATAATCTGTGTAAAGAATCTGCAAAATTCAATTCCAGAAATGTCTGTGCATACAACTATGTGACCAAACAAGGCAATGTTATTGTTTAATGACCCATGAAGGTCCGGGTTAGAATGAGCCTTCAGTAACCCATGCTTGTCGTACGAGGCGACTAACATGATCGGGTGGTCAGGCTCGCTGACTTGGTTGACACATGTCATCGGTTCCCAATTGCGTAGATTGATGCTCATGCTGTTGATCACTGGATTGTCTGGCCCAGACTCGATTATTTACAGACCGCCGCCATACAGCAGGAATATTGCTGAGTGCGGCGTAAAACTAAACTCACTCACTGTTGTTTAATTCTTGACTCAGCAATATTCTAGTGATTGACACTATGAGCAACAATCCATGCTGTCAGCTCACGCTAACAATATGAGCGAAGTCCCCAAGTCTGTTTGTTCTGTTTAAGGTGTACTCACATCTTGTGTAAAGTCATCCAGGTTAAAAGATGCATCAATGGGTTTTCCAAAGGGAGCAGCCCTCATGTTCCGGCCAAGCAGAACATCTTGCTGGAAAAACATTTGAAGAAATGAATTACTTACTTGTTGTACAATTGGCTTTTTCTAAATGGAAGGCAATTCATTTGGGAATCAGTCTTGTTTCATCATCATCAATCATTAATCATCATGATCATCACCAACATCATGATCATCATCAATAAGAATAAGAAAATTTAATGGAATCAGTAGATTTAAAAAAAATTGTCATATAAATTGAGATGGGCACACGACAGGGCGAGTCGGGTACTGGTCAGACCGTGATCAAGAAAGAATTGTAATTTGAATGAATGACTCTCTTCAGCAGCAGGCCATTAGACTCAAAACTAGCTGTCTTTGTGAATCTGCTACATAATCAAACGGATATTTAATACAGTGGATATGCAATGCTTCAGTATTTATGATTCAGTCCACCTCTTGTGTGTAATTACCAGGGTTGTAATGACACAGCAAGGATGCGATACGAAAAGTATACCGATAATATGTGTGTGATAAGATTTGTATCCTGATACAGTACTGTCATGTGAGTTCATTTTTCTCTCACGTTTTGCCAGTTAATCACAACATGGATAATTTATTTCTAAGTTTAAGACAGCGAAAATTGGATATTGTATGGAAGAAACATATAGGATAGGGGACACACTGCAGATTCTGTTACTATAGCCAATCAAAAAACTGCCAGAGAATCTGCATAAACTGGCTCTTGAATAGTTCCTGTCATTATTCACATTTGTTTACATAAATCTTGTAATGTAAGCATTGTATTCCTATCCTCAATACTATAAAGCCATATCGTTATGCCACGATCTCATCTCTAGTGTGACATCAGATGAAGATGACAAAGCCCAACAGAGATGCCAAAGAGTTTTACCACCAGTTCCTGCTGTGGAGGTTCTGGGATGCGGAATGTCACAGGGATTTTTTCTTGCGCCTTAGAATTCTGGTTTGGCACGACAATTCGACCCATCCGTGCCACAAACTCAAAGTTACGGGGATCATACTGAAAAGAAAATAAGTACTAATATCCTTTATCCATCATAACAAAAGATATCAGGCAAGTTATCTGGCAATAATCACAACTAATTGTTTTTTTATAATTTTTATTATTTTTGTTGCATTGCCATATAGTTGTGATCATAAATACGTATACAACAAAGGTACAAAGAAACACACAACAAACAAATGACAATATCACAAAGTAAATATGGCTATGGTATAAAGACCAAAATGTATAAAATTTATTGACTTTGCAGCTTAAAAAGGCTAAATGTTTCTCAGACAATTGAATTATTGATTATGCCATCCTCATCCAGGCATTCCACTCAATGTATTGTGGTATAAAATTTGAGAAATGTGGAGTCTTTTCAGCATGACTCAAGAAAATTTTAAATTTCTCACACAGAATGCATGGCTATGTGTGCTATAAAGTTTAAGGCTACAACATTGTTGAATTGTTACCCTTTTTTCAGGTAAATGAGATAACATTGAAATATTGCCCAACTGAGTACCCAAAAAACATTTTATGGCACCCAGCCAAAAGTACTGCAGAATACAATTTGACAGGTCTCAGCATGATCATGTGAAATGCACAAGTCACTTTTCATTACCCATCGGAAGTACTACCATACAATTTTGCCCCTCTATTAGACATTTCAGAATTTCTGTTGTTCAGTTTTCAAATTTTGAATTAAAAAATCATTATTTTGAACAATTTTAAAATTGTTATCAGTAATGAGACGTTCTCAAATCACTGACTAAAGTAAACATTAAATGACATAGAGCACTAGACTTGTTGATAAGCTGCCAGGAAAACATGGAATTCTGCAGATCCTGTTAACATGATTCAGCAAGAACAATAAACAAAGCTTTGGTTGAGGTATTTGCTCATACTTTGGGTTCATGTTGTACTGTGTTATATTTCAGGGTTGTTGATTAACGGCCATTAGTCATGCTATGAAAGCTATAACATGATAAAGCTTTGAAACCTTACCGATGGAGACGACATCTTGACTGATGAGTCCTACTTCTGTAATATCAGCGAATTTCCTGAAAACGATTGATAAGCACTGAGGTTTATGAATAAGGAATATTAAATTGTACTCAATCTTGTTTGTCAAGTACAATCAACGTAAAGAAATAAATATTTGTTGGTTGGTTGTTGTTTGACGCTGGACTCAGCAATTTTCCAGCTATGTGACAACGCTCTATAAATAATCGAGTCTGGACCACATGATCTGATGATTAACATCATGAACACTGATCTGTACAGTCTGAAAACATTGAAATGCACAACCAAGTCAGCTTTCTGATCCTGTTGGTCGCCTGTTATGACAAGCATGGGTTGTTGAAGACCAGTCCAAGAGGCTGAGTTGTTATCATGTTATGGCATCAACAAGTGGTGGCTGATCATGTGAAGTCTATTTCTGTCTTGATGTTGATGGTATATTGAGTGCAACACTACATCCTATATATACAATGACAAGCATCAACCAAGTCAGCAAGCTTTACCACCCCAACCAGTTAGTCTTCCCTTTCGACAAGCATGGGTTGCTGAGGACCAGTTCTAACCTCATTCTTCATGGGTAAGGAGATAAATAGGCTTGAAAGCTCACTAGGTTGTTTTCATAGAGTTCTACTAAATAACAATCCAAGGCTGCTGGGTGATAACTGATTGTCTAGAGTACACACACAAGTCATTGTCTTTTGTAAGTTCTATTCTTAACAGTTTTACCTGCTTTATGGTACAAAGGTAGGTGAAACGCCCAAATAGGACTGAAACGGCTACCATCTATAAACAGCTCCTGGCTCTAAGTTCAAGAGCGCTCATGATTTTCACATTATTTCTATATAAAAAAGTGACAATCACAATAAAATTTGATACTGTCAAAATATGATATCATCACTGCTGTAACAACAACCATCTGGACATTTTCACTGTAATTGGGAGTCCTTAAACAAATTCAGAAATACTATTTCCATGCCATACTGTAAACCCAGACCATCGCAGCACGTTAAATGGTGCCTGGTTACATGTAACTTCGGTCTCATGTTCAGGGAGCTGTACTGGCTAGCAACCAGTTATCGCCACCGTGCCAGGTATCGCCAACACCTGGATGTAGCGCTTGCACAGACAGCTTGATTTTAACTCTCGTAGCCTATCGCTTGTGTGATGTGTCAATGTGTGAGATAGCACCCGAGCTGGAGTCAGCTATCAGGGTTTCTTATCATCTTGGTTATAATGGTTGGTTTGTCGGCATGAAGTCATTAGAAATATATCTTGACAGTCTGAACCGATCATTGTTCTAAGAAACACAAAAAGGTTGGCTAAATCAGAGATGGGACATTTCTACAAGGGACTGGCTTTTAATCACTAAAGGTAGGTAAATAACAGTATTTGACAGATAAATTGACAGTTTTTATGAAAATTGTTTTCTTCAGACTTTTAAACCTTTTTCTTCATTATTCATAATTGGATTTAATATAAAACACTCTTCTTTTCATTGATGAACTGACTTTTGAAAATAATCTGGCCCTAATACGCTTCCATACTTCGGATCCCCAGTTGGATGTTATGCGCGCATCAGTTGCTGCGCAGAATTACCGGACAGCAAACGATGTCGTCAGAACGCCGGTAAGGTCAGTCGTATGGCATAATGCAACGTTAGAATCTTATAGTCGTCAATAAAACTTATATTTCTAGGTAAATATAATGCATACCAGCATGTTTAGTCACGTAAACCACAAAAACTAAGAGACGGTAGTTGCCGTGTTGCGATCGATGTGCTTAGGTGCGCGGAATTACCAGACGGCATTGTATATGGTCACTGTTAGCAGCCTGTGTCAGCATTTGGAATCAGACCCCATAGCATGTCAAGCCTACGCCTAATGCAGGGTTTCACGTACACTGAATACATGTGTGAACAATTCGGAATAAAGTTCGCTAAAAGTTTTAAACTGACAGTTTTAAGCAGGAATCAGATGGTATGGTAGCTAACGCTCACTTATAGAATCTAAACCAGTTGCCACTCCCACGGTCCCTCGGCCCCGTATCAAGATAGCAATATTGATCAATGAACTCAATTTGTGCCTTTTGAAATGACCGTATTTCCATATTGCTACACAACCGCACATTCCGTGATTCATCTGTTACCTGGTGATACTCTAGCAGCCCGTCCTGCAGATATCATTCACCGACATTATTTCGTTGTCACGCTGTCGCTCATGTAAATAGTTGCCATTTTCCGGAAGTGATTGCGCGGCGCTGTCAAAACGAGGTTCCCAACTTTAGAAGGATTTTAGAACCGCTTCTTATGGGTGCTTTTCCAGGATTCATCCTTTGACATCTACAACAATGCCTGGATCATTTGTGTTAGTACAAGCAGTACATTGAACATTATTTACGAAGATGTCCCTGTATATAATAATATCGCGATCGGTTACGTTACTTCCGCTATCTCAAAGCTTGTGTGCAATATAACGACTAAACAATGGAGATTTCTGTTTGAATGTCATTTGATGCATACCTACACATTGGCGGATCCGTGTGTGTGTGCGTGTGTATGTGTGTGTGCGTGCGTGCGTGCGAAACCCCCCACCCCTCTATCTTGAAAATGACTACAGACCACATAGAAATTAATGTTTTGCATTGGCGGAGCTCCCTTTGAAAATTCCTGGATCCGCCTATGCCTACATGTTGTGTTTACTTAATCCGTGTTGATGTATATAAGTCTGTTCTGTGCTGTAATACACTCTTGCTTGACAATGGTATAAGAACCTATACCGAAAGGTCGCATCATAATATAGTAAAGAAGTTGTCATACATAACAAAACCTTACCTTCCTTAGGTAACGTTCAAAATTAATGGCTAAGCGTGTGTGTGTGCGTGCGTGCACGCGGGCGTCGTCACATGATCGAAATATTCTTACGATGTTAAACCCCATTTCACCTCACCTTACACGACAAACCATACCTCCATACTCATAGGCGGATCCAGAGGGGGGGTGCAGGGGTGCGCACCCCCCCTTTTGTGCTGAAAGTTTGTTAAATGACCATTGAAACTCGGGTGAAAATGAAGTGTGCTCCTTTACTCAATAGTGTTCAAAACTGTTCCATGTAAAAACTACGTGTTCATGTTCCATTAAAAACATCATGTGCACGTTACCTTGTCCTGGCAATCATTGATTTGAAAAATGTAATATCCTGTATGTAAATTCATTTCTTACTCCAGTCTCAACTGGAACCAATTTGTTTCAACACGAATGTACCCTTCCACAGATTAATTTTAAAAACTGTTCAGGAATGAGTGATCGTTATACAGACGTTATCAAATTTTACAATTCTTTCAATTTTAGTTACTTAAAAACGAACTCCGTATACTTTCTATTGCCCCTCAGTTTATACACGGTGTGTTACACGCATTGTTACCTTTTAAGTTTTATGAGTATGTGTCTCTGTTGTTAAGTATGTTCAAATGTAACGTCACATCATCATTTCAGCTTTAGAGCGATAAGACAGAGTTTATATATACACATGTGCATCAGAAATACAAAGTTCTTTTTAAAATCAAATTTGTCGTGCATATTTTCCCTCAACAGTATATATTATAACTGTGAAACTACGGACTATAAGCAACCAACTCAATCGGTATCATGGTGACTTAGGTTCAGCTGCTTCTGCAGTAGTGCAATTTAGCGTATAGTTGCGTCATCAGTTTTAAAGCTACTGGTTGCTGTACGGAGTTGTATAGTCAGTATTTAAAAATGCGCAGAAGTGAGTTGCCTTAAAACCGGTTGTTGTCGCTGTTGCTTGTTCGCATTTGTTATGAGAGGCTAAAATGTTTACAGTTTGGAGGAGAGCAAGAGCAGGGGTATAATGCTTGCCAATAAGAGAACAACCAACACGTTGCAAGGAATTACGAATTATTTGTCTCGTGTACAGGAATGGTGAAACCCCGTGGGACGACTCTACAGCATTGTCTCAAAGTCGTTTCCCCGTTGTGACTTGTACCATAGTTTGCAGTGCTTTTAAGGTGAACAATTGACGTGCCTCTGCATGTGTTTGTGATGGACGTCTCCGATGGGGTAAAATATTTTCACGTTTAAGAAAACAGCTGGTGTCATCACTACTTGATAGGGGTTCATAAACACATGTCCATGGTATAGTCGGAATCTTGTAATGGTCACTACTTCTAGCAGAGATATCCTGATATATGATGTTATAAATGATGAAATGTTTTATGTCGCACTTTTATTTACGAATGACCTACAGACTGGGATTGTGAGCATGTTGTTCAGATGTCGTAATTTTATCAATTTGTGTCAAGAACAGTTAGTGACGTCACGATGTACTGTTCTCTACAAAGAAGCAAAAAGAAGTCCGATCGCTTCTACTGGCCAATCAACATTACAATCCCTTAAATTGGCCAATCGACATTAAGAATTGATATAATGCGATGGCACACTCCGGCACAGCGATGACTAACATAACATCACTCCCACAGGCTAATTTGCATATCACGTGACCGGACTTTTCTCTTGTTTGTAAACAAACGCGCATATTCATATAAGAAGAGACTGGACTCACGAAAGCTTTTCGGCGCTCTCTTCATAACGTTTTACATTGTTACATATATATTCTTCCACAACTGCGACAGTGAGGTCTATGACAGTACATATTTAGATATGAAACTGGCTGCATCGTTTGCTCTCCATCAGCTTCGATGACAGCACGTGGAGCCGTACAACCTATGTAAACAAAGGATCGCTACGCAAATCGAAATAGTGTTACACGTTTTTGGATATTTTCTCAGTGAAACTAAACCATTCCATTAAAGATGATTAGTTAGATGTGTAGACCCGTAAAAAATAAAAGAGCTAAGAAATCTGTACATTATATTGAATGGACATTGCAAGATGTGACGAATCGTCACATTTTTCTGGCCTGTGGCAGAGGTACTATGCTGGCTTGCCGCACGGAACTCTGGGTAGGAGATGGCACAAATGGCGGTGGCACAAATGCCGGAAGTCACAACACTCAATCTCCACCATTACATGAAACATTCAAGGCAATTACACAGTTCGAATCTGGGGTTCGGTCTCTCAGCAGGAGTTGATAACACAACGTTATTCCTTAAAATAGTTTATTGTTCATTATCAAATGCATTTGTGACAAAATAAATAATTCATGTTTATCACACAGGATATGTTATTTACAACGCAATATAGTTATCACACAATATGTTTCATTGGTCAAACATTCTGAGTGGTCCTTCCCAGACGGAAACAACATGAGCTCTGTGGGTCAACAACCCTGTTACAGCTCGTAGATAAATAACGCTGAAGCGTGATTCATATGGATATTTGTAATTAAAGAAGCACTATAAGCATATGGGATTGGTCTTAGGTAGCTGGGAGTGTTTCGTTGAGTGAAACACATAACCAAGCACTTGTCACTCTGTCTCCACTCGGTATGCACACATACCCTTGTTTTTGTTGGCACTTTTAAGAGTCCTTCTCTCTTTGTAAGAACCGGAAGATGTCGACCTTGAACCTTAGGAAGTACATATGAAAAGGGATACATTCGAACGTCACACATCATCTTTCAGTGAGTATTGGTGAGCCATTTACCACTTGAACTAAAACACTATCACATCTTATTCAAACATCACCACCGAACTTCATTCGGAACATAAATGTCTATATCACCAGTCACTGTTACGTGGGACATGCATTCTTTAACACGACAATGATCAACACGCACTGTACGACTACCTGTTGTCAGACATCTATACAGGAATGTAACTGCATCTTGGCATGTATGGGCACAAGTTACCTTGGTAGGTCAGACACTAACTGGCCACTTTAGAAAGACACAAGACGAATAATGATAGAGTACGTAAAAGAAACACATCGGTGACGCAATAGTCTATTTTCCCTTACATATCAAGTCTGATTGTCATGGCTGTGGAGTATGACTATAATATATACTCTGATCCGCTATACTTGACACATGTTTCAATGAATATATACAGATGAATTGAAAGACTTCGTATTGGACATAATCTTGCGAGTAAGGATGGCCCTATAATCGACGGGTTTGATGTGAAGGTATATCATCAGGCATTTCAGAATCACTGTCCGACTGTTGAGAGTCTAATCTTTGGAGCTCTCCCCTCACACGTTCCAACAATGCTGCCGTGTTGTCACTTGAACGTGCTTTGGAAGACTTGGGAGCTGCACGAGATGTGTTTGAAGCACCTTGGTGATCTGGTGATCCTGATGGCTCTGATGGATCCTGCTTGCGTTTGCTAGAAGAACCTCCTGAATGATCTTTTCGAGGTCTCGGGACAGGCGTTTCGGGACTCGTTGAACAAGGTGGCTTGGAACCAGGAACAGATGTCCCAGAGTTCCTTACTTCTTCCCGTATACGTTCCATCAGGCCAGAATGCGATTGTGATTCCCCAATAGGCGCAAGAGCGAACCCAAGTGCATGAGTCTGATTTAAAAGTTGCTGAGCTCGTCGTGTGGTCTCCTCTGTTTTCCTCACAGCTTCCTCCTCTTCAAATATTGCCTCCTGTTCTATTTGTGCTGCTAATGAGTGTTTCGATGAACTATCGTGGACATACTTGTGTCCACTAGTCCTTGGTTTAGGTTGGGGTGAGTCTGTAACATTATCGGTGCCTCCAACACAGCCTTGTGCTGGGTAAATGTCCCTGTATTCCTTAGGCGATTCACCAGATTCACTCCCAACGTATGTAATACCACTTGACTTTCTACTCCAAGTTGTCGTCATCTCCGATTGTTGGGCTATCTGTAATGGCCCCAGAGCTAGAATGGCGTCCTCCAGACTATCGTCTTCCAGGGAAAGCTGATCTGAGTTGATGGTCAAGTCACTGTCAGACTCCAGTGAACTGATGGAGGGAGAGTTGAGGTCCTGTTCAGCCTGACTATAAGGCTGTTCTGTCAAGTTCTTCCTCTGTTGTACCACCTCCACCATCAACTGTTGGGCCTTGGCACGCTTGGCCTCCTCTTCACGCTGAAACGGGAATCGGTGAAGAAAGGTTAAAAGGAAAATTAATAAACATAAGACTGACGTATCAAAATACACTTTTAGAAGGGATACCCATACACATGACATGTTTGGCGCTTTTCAAACTGTAGGTCAGGTGAGGTGAAATGGGGTCTAACGTCACACTTAAGAATATTTCGCTCATATGACGACGTGCATGCTTGTGTATGTGCTTGTACTAGCCCAGACTGAAGCTGGTTTTATGGTGCTATCTCACTGAGATACCATGCCGCAGTTAAACATGACATATTGTACTGACTCCGAGCCGAACATTGCTTGTTGTACCATTAATGCCGATCGCCAGGCAGGGACCAACATCTAAATAAAAACTATCTTTCACACACACACGCACGCACGCACGCACGCAAGCACACACACACACACTGGATCTGCCAATGTGTAGGTATGCATCAAATGCCATTCAAACAGAAATCCCCATTGTTTAGTAGTTTTTGCACACAAGCTTTGAGATAGCCTGAAGAATTGTAGATGTCAAAGGATGAATCCTTGAAAAGCACCCACAAGAAGCGGATCTAAAAGTTGGGAACCTCTTGTTCAAAATTTTATGTATAACCTGTCTGCTACTACAATGTTAAGTAAAGGGTGACTAAACTGTGGACATGGATAAGGAAAGGTGACATGACAGGTCTTGTTTCGAACTACTGAACACTTTCTACTACTAGTTGGTCTGGTAAGAAATACCATTCCCAGATAGCTGTTCGGTGTTAAGCAATTTTCACTCACTCCCACAGAGCACTGAGGAGATAAACAATATTCACCCACTCCAATACAGCCGTACAATATTAACTCACACCTATGCATAAAGCCGTGCGGCGTTAAACATTTTTTACTCACTTATCCCTAGACCGATTGCAAGATCGATGTTCGTGATGTTAGTCACTGGAGTGTCTGATTCAGACACCATTATTTACAGTGAAAGCTGGAATATCGGCGAGAGCGGTGTAATACAAACAAATAAACAAGGACACTGCAAACGAGATAAACTGCGGCGTAAAATTCATTCAGTCACTCCACAAACCCAGTTTGATGACCAGGGTCCCGATCCATAAAGCGTTCGTAACGTTACGACCTGTCGTAACTCTATATTTTATCATAGGCGTACGAGTGAGTGAGTTTAGTTTTACGCCGTACTCAATGTTCCAGTTATATAGAGGCGGTCTGTAAATAATCGAGTATGGACCAAACAATCCAGTGATCAACAGCATGAGCATCGATCTGCGCAATTGGGAACCGATGACATGTGTCAACCAAGCCAGCGAGCCTGACCACCCGATCCCGTTAGTCGCTTCTTACGACAAGCATGGGTTACATAGGCATACGACTGACATAGTGCTACGAGTGTTTTGTGGATCGGGCCCCCGATCCTACTATACGCTGTTAGTAATTAAAATAATCACAACCTGGGTTAGTAATACCTTATGTACAGTTTGGTTGTAGACCGTGTTCGCCGTCTCGGGAAAGATGAACTTGGCTGTTTCTCCAGGGCCGGCACTGATGCTAAGGCGTGTGTTGACGGGGGAGTTTGGGCAGCTGAGGTCGTCGTCATCAATAAAGATGTCGTGTGTCTGGCGTCTGGGGGAGAAGAGAAGAACCGTGAAGGATCATGAACCTAAGAATCTCCAGTCTGACTCCTTTCCCCGTTACGTCAGGTAATTGGCCCACCTGGTTATACATGATGTATGACGCACTGGCTGCTATAGTCAGGATATTGTAGGAGTCGACACGTATGTAGATGTATAACGGATGTGCATCACAAACACTCAAAAATTGGACACAACGTTCCTTCGTTTCAGAGAAAGAATGGCATGCAACTAAATCTACCCAAAAGGAACTGGGTGACATGACAAGGCATGAACGAAGCTTGCGTTATGGCTGCCAGTAGACTTCTCTAACCTCAGTCTATTGGTAAGGTAATCAATAAAGCTGACAGGCCATATATACCAACAACACCGTTAGCGGTGATGAAGATGAGGCTACGATCGATACCAACTTACAGGTGAGAAGATTCCATTAGAACGAAGGATATGGCTCTCTAAATAATGAATGGTGTGATTACTGGTATATGAGCAGGTTAACGTCAAAGCAATGCAAAATACTTCCCAAAAACGCTTCACAGATATCTTAAGTTCGTTTTACATACATCTTCTTGAGATTCGGAATAATAACTAACAAATGCGATGAAACCCTTAACTTTCTATAGTCATGTGGAATCTTTTGGGAGAAAGGTTCATGTTAAGGTTATGTCATAAACATGTGTCTATGAATCCCTATCGCTATCACCAAAGAGTAAGATATGCTTACCCTGGTGTCGTCGATGACTTGCAGTGATCCATTCCTATATCCATATTTTGCTTTTTGCCCTTAACAGTATTGGTTTAGGTGATATTTTATAGTGGTTAAATGGCTAATAACATTTTTGTAACCGATCAATAAACACGTAAGATATATCCCATGCACCCTCTAAATCAGACAAATCATTACTCTTTAGGATTAGAATATGGTTAACATGAGAAAGTATGCATTATATATGATTAGATCCGATTAGCCAGGATATTCAGATTTATATATTACCACCAGACGTTAAAAGTGATTGAGAGGAGTAAAACCGTACATCTTGCGAACCCATGGCGTTTGGACCTGCTTGCACTCTGTTTCAGGCTGATACCCTTGTGTGTCTCTCATCTTCGACGTCTCTCCCTTCTCATCCGGGCTACTATCCGTGTCGCTCGTGAGGCTGGCATCTTTCGATGTCTGTGTGTCCACGGAACGCATCTCAGGGCAAACGTTCACCGGTTCAGCTGCTGAAGCCTTTGTACTGCCACAGACGTTAACCGAGCTTCAGACACAATAGGCACAGAAGCAACAGCATCATCTGATGCCGAAACGTCAGTGGAGGTGGATTCCTTCTGGATTTTGGCTTCGATCTTTGGAGATTTTGTCTTTGGTATAATAACTGTGAATTCGTCAGACGCATCAGTGTGGTCACCACTGTCAATGGAGCTGACCGTTGTCATAGAACCAGAAGAAGGAAGAAGAGGGCATTCACTTCCCACGGTGTTATACTGGGAGGAGGCAGCTTTCCCTTTTCCCTTCTTGGATCTGGTTCTCCGTGGTAGTTCCAAGGTTTGTTCATCACAGGAATCGACTTCCTTCTGATTTTCATGAACCCCCAGCTTCTCCAGGAGTTCTTTCTCTCTGAGGATGAGACTCCTGTGGGAATCCTTCTCTTGGTCGGCCAGGAGAACCTGCTCGGGGTAGTCCGTCTCGGTGAGTTCACGGTACTTGTCCGAATCCTGCCTCCGCAGTCCGTCCCCATCGCCCACACCGGGCAGCACACAGACGCCACCCAGCAGTGGGACCTTCTTGCCTGTGGAGGAGTTGGACCGGGGGCTAAGGGATGGAGTGCTGGCAGGGGTCTTGTCCACAATCTCCCCCTTTTCGACGTCAACCGTCAGATTGTGATCCTCAAGCGTGTCTCCTCTCTGGAATAACATAAGACGTACTTTTAGATGGTTATCAGATATAAATATTTTAAACTGTGGGCTACAGACAGTCCCCTTAGAACTAGTGAGTGATACTGCTTATCAAAAGATTGAGTCACGTCTTAATCTGAAAACGGTGAGATAATTATCTTTCGTTGTGTACTAAACAGTGCGTGTTTCGTAGTTCGCTATTTTCCAATTCCCAGTGTTTATATCAACCAAGATGGCGAATCAAACAGTCGCTTCAGTTCGGATTGTTGTCCTCGATCATTGTAACGTAATAATGAAAAATTATATCACGCAAACCATACTTGATATCTGGGAGGGAGGTCCCCAACTGCGTTAGCTCTTCTCCTTCGCCTCATCCGGGTAACCAGGAACAAGATGGCGAGGACCAGTAGTGCAGCGGGTATCACGATACACAGGATCAAAATGTAGCTGTTGTCCTTCTTGTCTTCAAGTTGGGGTTTACTGGAAGTCTGGGCAGCAGTGATTGGTTCAAGCACCTGTAAGTAATATGTTCGTACTTGGAGGTATTGCCAATAGAAGGTTAAACAGGTTCTCGGTCATAAGTATACACCCTTTTCACCCACAACCCCCTTAAAACATGCACCCTATCCACCCCACACCATCCGACCCATCCGTAAAGATTCGAGGTAGAATTGGTCTTCAGCAACTCAATCATGGTTAACATATGGCATTGCATCACAATTGCGTAGATCCATGCACTGGATTGTCTGGACAAAATTCAATTATTTACAGACCGCCGCCATATAGGTGGAATATTGCTGAGTGCAGCGTTTAACAAACAAAAACATGCCACCCAGGGGCTTAATGACTTGGACGATACATGTCATCATATCTCAATTGTATAGATCGATGCTCTTGATTACAGTCATTGGATTGTCTGGTCCAGACTCGGGAATTTACAGAACGCCGCCATATTACTGGAATATTGCAGAAAGCGAAAAATACAAAAGGAGCATGCAGACAGTCCGTCTCACACAAATATATCACTGAAATAATTCATTGTAACTTGTGAACTCTCAAAGATAATTTTCACACAGCTGTTACGGGATGCGAGTTTAGGACACCCGTTAGTGACACATGCCACTTATAATATACGTTTTATTCATTGATGACCGGTTACAGCGATAACGTACGGAATGAGCGAGAGCGGATGAGGTCTGTTCTTGGGATATCCTGTTGTAGACGGGGACAGCGACGTCAGCCGGCACGAAGTCGCCACCATCACTCACAGCAAACGTCGTCGTTACCTTGAAATCGTCACCCGGATCCCTTTCATTCGAAACAACCTGAAATGGAGCAGTTGTGTTCATTATATGCTGTGAATACTGAAAACTCTCTTGGGATGTAAGACAGGTCTCTTGGGATGTAAGACAGCGACGTCTTGCGTGTATAACCCATATATGTGGTTGGTATATATCTGAAGCATAATCACTCCTGGGAATGCATGAATATGCATGAACTATAAGACAGGGTCTCTGTTACGTAAGGTAGCCTAGGGGCATGAAATAAAAAAGGCTGGTGGTGTAATATGACTAATAAGGCGATAATAAAGCTGTGTAGGGCTTTCCTTCCTTTAGATTCGTTCTGAAATTATAGGCGTGAACTGTACACGAGTGTGCGCGCGTGTGTGCGTGTGCGTGATTACACATGATTGGAATAATGCGTTAATTCTGCTTGCACACTGAGATACCATGCTTCAGCAAACATGGATACCCCACCCAGACAAGGTATTGACTTTGAGTCTGTGTTTTATCTCATTGCCGAGTAAGTGAGTACAGTTTACGCAGCTTTTAGCAATATTCCAGCAATATCACGGCAGGAGACACCAGAAATGGGCTCACACATTGTACCCATGTGGGGAATGGAACCCGGGTCTTCGGCGTGACGAGCCAACGCTTTAACCACCAGGCTACCTCACCGCCCCTTATTGCCGAGTGACAGGCAGTGAAACAACATCGTTTTGTATGAACCCCTTACCTTCCGCTCACCGGTCAGACGCCCGATCGATTACATCACGGAAGCAGTGAACTCACTATGAAATGATTTACATACAACACCTGTCTGCGATACCCAAGACGTTTCTCGCTTTTCAAACGCCGCACCACCGTCAACAGACACGGAGAGGCTTTCCAAATGTTTAGATTTTGAAACGTATTGACTATTTCTTTTAACAAAAATGTTTGTTTGAATATGGACATTCAGTTGATGCCTCCATGATGTATTTAGTGCTGGCATTCATTTGGTTGGTAAAGAGGATCTGCTTTGTTTTAATTAGATTTCTAACTTCACGTTCAATTGTTTCAAGTTAATATAGTTTCCTGTGTCAAAAAGCCACTTTTTGCACCTTACAAAGTTCAGTAGTACAATAACCTTATTTCCTATCTCACAGTAATAATAAAAGGGCATGGATTCTGATTAAATTAGCTTTAACCGTTAGTTGTTTGACAAAAAACAATATTGTCTCTTTGTTGTGAACACTTGTTATCAATAATTTTGCACGTCTGTACGCCGGATGATACTGCATTACTTTACATCAGTTCATGGGGTCATGTATTTGGCAGAGACTTCAAGACAAAATGTTTCTCATTGCGAATATTGAATAGCCTGTAAAATCGTGGTAACATGGGAGGTAACTCGTGGCGGGCTGTTGTCCCAACGTCGTTTGAAGCCCATTTATCGAAGCACTTTCAGAATGTGCTCAATAGGTTTGGTGTTTATATCTCCATTAACTCAAAAGATATTTATGTCAATTCTTAAGACGTCTCAATGAATGAAAATCTTCAAAATCTACTTTTTCTGATACACCCCGTTCATTCATGAGGTATTCATTTAAAATTAACATGAACTGCCAGATTATTTGTGATTAGCTTGACTGGTCAATACATCAGCTCGTATTACCCTAGTCTTTAGTTTGATCTGTAGTTTGAACACATTTAGCCTCTGGGCATGACTATATGTTCTGCAAAAGTATAGGGTTATTCACTCAACAGCCGGACACCTTGTTTCAGGAACACAAGTCTCATTGAAGTGACACTGGGGACAAAAGAACTTTCTTGAAACAGAATTCTAACATTCCTCAAAAGAATACAAAAATCTGATTTTTGCAAATCACACAATTTCTTGGGCAGAAGCATCTGAAATGTCATGTCTATTTTAGGCATTTGACATGTCGAAATGAATTAAAAACTATTTTTTTATTCATCACTTCCAAATAAAATGGGTTGGCTTTCGAGGAATGTGATTAAACAAACATGTCGGTGCTAGAATTGCATTGGAACGGAGGTGTTTCACACGTAATCCTCCATAATCCTATGTCAAACGCCTCTTTTGAATAAACACGAGAGATGAATGTATGGAAGAATTGACAACTGATAAATATTTGTTTTCAGCAAAATGTACACGATGTATACCTGAGCGTTAACTCCACTCTGACGTTTGTGTCGGGCCAGCCGCTGTGTAATATCTCTTCTTCTTCTCTGTTTGAGAGCAGTCGCATAGAGCTCTGCCAGATCTGAAATGAGAGAGTGAGTTGTGTCGTTGTCGTGCTAGAGGTAGTTCAGTTTTAACTAGACATGATAGCTTTTCGTGTAAGAAAAGACAGAAGATATGCAGGCTTTAGGCGTTTACGTGAAATATACTGACATACAAAAGAAAGTACACACCTGGTGTATTGAGACTATTTCCAAATAAATAGTTTGCTAGCAACGTTGTAATTGGGTACGATATCTGGTGTTATTGCAACACGTACACAATGTTTGTGACTTGTAAGTCACAATCAAAACACTTTTCTAATTTTAACGCTGTTTTTAAGAAAATATTTTACCAAAGCATCAAGTGTGTACTTTTTTTTGTACGTCAGTTTATGAATACACAATAACATTTAGAAACGGGTCAAATGTGACACGTTTTGTTTGGGATTGCACTCTCTCAATAAAGTACAGATTCTAGACAGAGTACATTTGTTGGGTTGAGTCCCATCCTGGATTCGAACCCACACTCTCAGAGTCTAATCGCGCCTAATCGCCTGTATAAAGTCAGCCATCAAACCCACTCTGCCACTGCGGGTTTACCTTTTAACCGAAGCCTCGTACACGAGTATGGTACTAGTAAACTACGAATCATAGGCACTGACAATCAGTGATTTGAGTCCGGATTCACGCATGTATCACCTCACACGTTTTAATACCATTACCAATGTTGGTGAATGAGTGGATGTTAATGTCCTCAATGTTCGACCTACAGAGGCGTCTTGTTGATGAACGAGTCTGCACCAGTGCGATATTGCATGGAAATCGCTCCAGGACTACGATGGCAGGGCTTACGTGACTACTCTGAACGGATTCACTTTTAACAGCCTAGGTCACTGGGGATATGAACGGGGAAATACCCCCAAGAGAGTAACTGAGTATGATTTTACACCGCTTTTAGCAACATTCCATTAATATCACGGCTGGGGAAATCATATTCATTCATTGATTTATTTAGACAGGAGATATAGCTTTGTGGGCTCAAGCATTGTCTCCGAGGAGATGCTGCTTCAGTGGAATTACATCACAATGTTTTGCACACCATGACGTCATAATCACTTATCTCTGTCACCGTTGGCTGTTTTCATTGCAACTCAGGAGGCTCTGTATTACCGCTTCGGTGAAAGATCAAAGGCACCGACAGTACTTTATTTAAGAAATACAGTTCGCTCTACCACCATGTATAGTGAAATAAAGCACACTTTCGCCCTGAACTATTATAGTTAAAGTGCGAGGACGCTTGCGTCTTCGTATTGAACTATAACAGATCAGGGCGAAAGTGTGGTTTATTACATTATACATGGTGGTATAGCGAACTGTATTTCTTAATTATAAACCAGAGGAAGTTGAAAGAATGATGATATATGTATTTTCAGCCTCTTGAGTTCTAAACCTTTATCGACTTGTGTGATAGGAAAGACACTAGGGTAATACTTTCTCTGTATACATTACAATACAAGACAAGACAATTTATACATTATAGAGGCCTTTGGCCCGCAATACAGAAGTTAACGTTCTAACCGCTGCATTTAGAATGTAAGTTAGGATGTTATTTGTAATCGTTTTAGTATGAGGTGGACACAAACATGCACGGATAAATATACATATAGTTCAGACACATATATTAATATTCTTCATGAAAATTATGCCTATTTAGTGCTATTAAACGTGTTGATTATCTTTTGCACATCAAATAGATGCATTCCGACGTCATGCATTGTTTGTTTCTTAAGTGTTCATTTTATTTACGAATGTGTTTACTGCACTCCCATTTCTGATATATACATTCCAATAGATTGAAACCATACCTTTCTCAAGCTGGCGGCTAAACTGTGCGCTCGTTATGTTGACATCCAGGCCTATGTTCATGACCAGCAGCATCAACGTATCTACAGGAGGACCGTCTGAAGCAGGAACTGATGTAGAAGGCGGTGAAGATGAGTCAGGATGAGCGGTAGAGATGGTTGAAGATTCAGGGCCTGCTGACTGAACTGAAGTAGGCATGGCCGACATGGTAGGCTGCAGTGTAGGTACTGATGTCGATAAGGGGACACTCGAGGACATCTGTCCTGTGGCTGGTGTACGGGATTTGGTAGAGGGGTTGATAGGCAGAGCTGCGGTGGGAGCTAAAGATATATCTTGAGAGGATGACTTGGTGGAAAGGGTTGTTGTGGTTGAAGCGGAAGGTTTTCCCGAAGATGGGTTGATTGGAACAGTTGTTGTGGCTGAAACCAAGTATTCTCCTGAAGTTGATGGGTTGATTGGAACAGTTGTGGATGAAGCTGAAGATGATTGGTTGATTGGAACAGTTGTTGTGACTGAAGCCAAGTATTCTCCTGAAGTTGATGGGTTGATTGGAACAGTTGTGGATGATGCTGAAGATGAATGGTTGATTGTGACTGAAGTCAAGTATTCTCCTGATGTTGATGGGTTGATTGGAAGAGTTGTAGCAGAAGCCAAATATTCTCTGGACGATGATTGGTTGATTGGTCCAGTTATTGTGGCTGATGCTGAAGAATGTCCTGAAGATAATTGGTTGATTGGTCCAGTTGTTGTGGCAGATACCAGAGATATTCTGGAAGATGATTGATTGAATGGAATTGTTCTTGTAGCTGATGCCGAAGATTCTGCTGAAAATGATGGGTTAAAGGGAAGAGTTGTAGTTGAAACTAAAGGTTTTCCTGGAGATGAAGACAATGAAGATACAATAGTCAAAACTGGTGGAAGAACTGATGGCTGTGAACTTGTAAAAGGATCAACTCGTGTCAGCTCGTGTGAATATACTGTCATTGTTGGGTACACAGATGATGAAGAATGTTCAAACAAAAGTGGTCGAGTTGAAGATAGGAGCACTGTTGTAGATGATGTCGACACTTTGGTAGAAAATGGGATTGGGGATGAAAATAGAGATCCTTCACTTGATAGGAGAAATGAAGAAGGTGATGATTCCTCGGTTGGCGAAGTCTTTGTAGATAATGACCATAGCCCTTCAGTTGATAGTGACCTTGGAAATAGAGATGATAAACCTTCAGTATACAGGGTCCTTGTAGATAAAGATGAAAACCCTTCGGTAGACAGTGACCGTGCAAATAAAGACGATAACCCTTCCGTAGACAGGGACCTTGTGGATAAGGATGGTGATCCGTCAGCGGACAGGGACCTTGTTGATAAAGACGACAACCCTTCAGAAGACATGGATATGGACATTGGCATTGTCTTCTCAGTAGAGGGTGGCAGTGCAGCTAATGATGATGGTTTCTCAGAGGATGTTATCTCCTCAGTAGACAAGGCCTTTGTTGATAACGCTGATGACGCCTCAATAGACGGGGGCAGAACTGACAAAGATGAAAACCGCTTAGTGTTTGGCAAATGTGAAGAAGATACCGACAACAATGTCCACCCTGAGGCAGAAATAACTGGTATAGTTGACGATAAGACCGACACTGTTGACGATTCAATAGATAGGATATCTGTAGAAGAACGTGTGGCATACATGACTGGTGAACTGGATATTGTAGACGTCATTGATGGGAACCTTTGAAAAAGGGAATATCTACCATTCGTTGCATTGACTGTGGGCGTTGTACCTGAGCTTGTCATTGGCACATTCGTGAACGATTTAGAGGATATGATATGCTCAGATGAATCCATATCTCCCGAAAACATGGTGGGTGGTGGTTCTGATACATCTGCAGTTGATATTCTATATGATGAAAGGGGTAATATCGGAGATGATGAAGTAGATTGTGGTAGTAAACGTGGCGTACCTGACACTGAGGTTTTCAAATCAGGGGTTTGAGATACAGAACTATGAATAAAACCTTTTGTACCACTGACTTTTGTAGAAAATGCTGTCTCAACTGGAGTTGGAGCTGTAATTGGGCTAGAGGCATCAAAGAATACACGTAATGTTGATGATGTTTCTCTAGGCAATGAAACTGTTCCTTTTGACGGAGCAGCGTCAATGTACTTGCTTGATACCATCTGTGAAACCTTGCTTTCCGGAGACAAAATGGAAGAGAATCTCAAGTGAGTTGAAGGCAGGATTGTTTCAGTCAAATGTATGGTATCCGTTCCATATAAATTTGAGTCTATAGCGTCTGATCTGGGATTCCAGCCATTCGTAAATGCACCTGATGTTGGATTTATGTTCAAACCTGTAGAATGCGATGAGATTGCATCATTTGATGCATCATACGTTGGGGTTAAATCAGAGACGGGAGTTGATATTTCAAAATTTGAAAGGTCAGCACTAGATACGTCTTCAAACATGGAAGGAAATGAGGACGCGCCATTAGAGTCCATCCTTTCATTGGAAGGAAAAGGTAAATTCGTTCTCGTTGCACTACTTTCATTTGCTGGTGGGAAACTGGTTATATTCAGTAAAGGAGGAGAAGGCTCATATGTAGATGAGATTGGTGATGAGGTGCTTTCTGCACGGGACACAAAAATCTCTTCTTTATTCCCAGATGCTTCAAATAACGTGTCAAATCCATAATCCGATGGCATCAACGAAGATAATGAATCTTTCCGAGACTCAGATGGAACGAGCGTCAAGCTAAATCCAACACTGATAGGCATCGAAACTGTGCCTGGTAATGATGCAAGAGCATCCATGTCAGCTGAAAATGAGGAGAAGTCATCAATCATGTCGGAGGGCGATGTTACATCAGAGTATTTGGATGCCAAAGAGAATGGATAAGTCTTGGGGTCTGGAACACTGGAGGATCCATATGTCATTGGCTTCAACGTCACTCCATTTGTTGATGTCATCAGTGGTGTTTCTTGGACAAGTTCTGTGATGGATGGTGATGATGAAAATGATGGCTCGTAAGATGATCTGACACTAGCTGTATAAGAAGACATTTGAGGTCCATTTGTAGCCAACGTGACAAATAGATCAGAACTGCTTTGTGACATGCTTTTATATACTAGTTGATTTGCTGTGGACTTTGTCACATCTATCCCTGACAAGGATGATTCAATGTAAATGGGCGATGACAGTAATCTTTCATCGTAAAACGTTGTGACCAGTTTGTCATCCCAAGCAGCAGCTGCGTTCGGGAAGCTTGTGTCATTCTCAGTTTCTACAGGTTTAAAGACTGTGGCCTGATGGTCATGATCGAGAGATGGAGAAGGTTCTTCTGAAGATGTCTGCAGTTCTGACTCAAGTGATGTTCTGACTTGCTCCAACACGGAATGATATGTGGTATCCTCAAACATCAAGGCACTTTCACTCACAGTTACACTTGGCCGAATATTCGTGCTTATGGATGATATGGACCGGGTGCTCTGTTGGGATCCGTTGTAAATATCAGGTGATGATACGGAGTACATCTCTTTTGGGATATCTGGCTCTTGTTGATTGGATATGATGACCATTTCAATTACCACATCAGTTGAGTAGTCACTGGATACATAACTATTATCAATAGACGTCATCACGTGGTCAATGACATTTGTGTCAGTTATAGTTTGTGCAGCAATATCAGAACTTACAAATGTACCAGTGGAATGTCTGAACGGAATCTTGGACTTAGATGATACATCACCATGACTGTCTTTTGTTTCGACAGCAGGAGTGGCAGACGGTTGAATACCATTATTTGAGTTAATGTTGCTTTTTCGCTGGGGCTCTTCACCAAAGTGATCATTAACTAAGACCTGTTCTTGTTGCAGTGACGTTAACCCCATCATGCCAAGACTCTGTAACGGTAAACATTTGTGAATAAGTGCTTCATCTCAGAAAGTATACATACACATCCTCAAATATCCACTGCATTATACATTGCATTTAGCAAACAGGGTAGGTACCATGGATGTCTTTGAAATGGGTCTATCATGCCACTATCTTATCAGGATCTTCTCACAGGTTTCTTTCGCATGTTTACATAGCATTATATCATTCGTAGATATGGCTTCATCATATTTCATGATAAAATGGAACAATAATACATTGGATTACAGGAGACAAAATATGAACAGCTTCTATAATAGTATATACATAAATCCGTAATAGAAATACAACTTATATTCAAAAGGCTTTAAAGCGGGTCGGCCCCTGCATAAAGAAACATTAAAGTTAGTATGTGTTAAGTAGATAAACACAGAGGAATATTGTTGCATAAATCAAATAGTGGAGTTGTGTCATACACCAGGAGCAAACATGTACAATTGAATCTTTTTGATGACACTATGAGACATTTACTGACACGCTTCAGGAGGGAATGGAGGTGCTGGAATTTGTGCAAAACGAAAAACAGCAGAAGACCTGACAGATCTTACCGTCACTCCCGTATTACGATTGAGTTCTTCTAATGATATTTTGTTGAACGCTGCTTCTGCATCCCTAGCAAGGATCTTTCGTCCATTTCTGGTAACTGTAAACTCCATTTCTATACTACCGTCTGGCCGAGGTTTGGTACTCTTTATCTATAAAGAAAGAGTTCTCGTTAGATATTTATCAACACATGTCCATACTTGTGTTACAGATTATCAATATTGAACGTGTGTGGGTAATTTGTGGATAAAAACATCGTCACAATCTGAACCCAAGATATAAGATTGGTCCACAGCGCACTTTTGCATGTGAGAGGTTATTATATTGGATCAATTGGTGGATCACTTCGGACTTTGAACCACAGTTGTTTATTTAATGACCCTCTCAGCAATTTATTAGCTATACGACAGCCGTCTGTAAGTACTAGTATCTGGTCCTGCACTAACCACGTCACTCAATCCTGTCAGTCGCCTCTTAAGACAAGCATAGTTTATGAAGATCAGTTCTACCCAGGATCTTCACACGGTTATTTGCATGACCCCCTGACAGCAATATATAACAACAAGCAAACACAGTAATAGTTTGCCATCGCGATCCTTCGTTCGTATTACTACAGGGGAAAACATCTCATTTTCATGTCTCATTTTCATTTCGAAACTATTTTAAAGGACAGAATATTAGAAGGCTCTGGTACTCTCATACTATGTTTCAGGCCTTTGAATGGCATTTGGACTGACTGCTGACTGACTGAGTTTGGTTTTACGCCGCTTTTAGCAATATTCCAGCAATATCACGGCGGGGGACACCAGAAATGGGCTTCACTCATTGTACCCATGTTGGGATTCGAACCCGGGTCTTCGGCGTGACGAGCCAACGCTTTAACCACTAGACTACCCCACCGCCCCGAATGGCATTTGGAAGTGATACACGTAAGGAAGAGACTTTTTTTATGGACGTCAACTTCTTTATTATGAGGAACACAACGTTTCAAAGTATATCCTTACTCCTTCATCAGATATTCTCCGAAACGTAAAGAAGTTGACATCCATAAAAAAACTCTCTTCCATATATTATGTTTCGTAAGAAATATGTACCCACCTGTACATTGACGTTATTTGTGCTGGCGGTGTCTCTCCGCAATCTTACATTCACTTGACTCTTTAAGCCAATTTCGTAAGATAGCTCAAGACCTGAAATGAGGCAAATTTTAGCATGAGAGAAATGAACATTTAGTGATGTGGAATTCCTTTTCCTTTTTGCACAAACGATGTGATTTACATTTGAACACTTGTAATTGGATAGCTACGAAACGTTTGGGCGTGAGAGTAGGGGGGACCAGTATTTACCTTTTACTACCTTAGCCAGGAATTCTGCAGAGGTTACATCTTCTCCCTTGGGATCGAACACCCACTTGAGAATAAAGTCACTCTCTTGTGCTTCTGTTTCGGGACCTTGGGTGTGATCAGTTGCATGTAGATTAGATGATGATGTCATAACTACAGATGGTGTTTGGAGAAGTGACTTTACATATGTTGAGGTTAATTGGTTACTTCGCATTTCTGACAATAGTAAAGTCTGCCTGTTGCTCTGTGTGGACTTTAATGTGGGATCATGCGATGTGTCTGTAGACGAAAGTGTTGCCTGGAGGGTCTCTCCTGCCTTTCCAGCTCTGGAACTATGTACATCACTGCTTTCAACATTAATCCCTAATGATTCCAGCTTGTCAACGGCATCAGAGCCAATCAGTGAATTTCGATGTTCCACCCAGGAAACGACTGAAACTGATTGTATGATATGTGATGAAGGGGCATTTTGCTCCAGAATTTTGCTTGTGTGGAGAACAGGAGTGGTACTTCTGGCAAGTTGTGTTGTACTGTACTTTGTGTGATCAAACAGCAACACTGATGATGAATGGATTTGGTCACTCGTCTTGGATCCAATGTTTTGGCCGTCATATGTAGAGCTACCTAGTGAAGCACTATCATCTTGGGGAGCTATCATCTTATCTGCAACTTGATTTACTCTAAGAATCAGCGATTGCTCCATAATTTGGTCCATGGTTGAACTACTAACAATCGTATCTGTTGACATTGGGAGGTACGAGTGAGTGTGTGTATATGAAGCTGTTTTGGATGAGACCCAGTTAAGAGCTGTCGAGGATGTGGACACACTATGAGACTTCTCTCCAACGTAAGGTAATGAGGATTCAGTGGATTCGCCTTCCCTTCCCTCCCACTGGAATTTGCTTGATTCTAATTGATCTTTATGCCGATAGGTGGAAGACGGATGATGGTCATACAAAACATCAGATGTCAATCTGTATACTTCGTGTACAGTCGAGTCACCATCCCCATTCCGTGTATTTGAATGTTTAGGAATTGAAATTTCAAAAGATTCTGGCCATGTACTAGTTTGAGACACAGTCATGGCTAATTGGGGTTGTTGGTTGTGTGATGAATCTACCATTGATGAATACATCTTAACATCAGGAATCTCACGGCCAAATTTGGTATTCTGTATCTTTTGTGAGTGATTATCTTCATATGATGATGAGATAGGAAAAGATGAACTTTCACCACCGAGGATAGACCCATTTTCTCTGATGGTCGTGTGGCTAATTGTTGCAGCATATGACACTTTGATCTCAGAATCTAGAGCGGCTTGACTAGAATACAGTGTATCTGCTACTGTGTCAACCATACTGTAATCACTGGGATTTGTTTCGCTTGAATTTGATTCGATATATCCAGCATCACTGTGTGAGTTTGGAAACAGTTTGTTATCACTTGAGATGGAATCAAATGTAGACATGCTGGTACGCATGGAAGCGACTGCTATGTCAGGTGTATTCTCTTTCCTAACAAAGATTGTGCTGTGTTCTTGTGCTGTTGACAAAGCTGTTGGTGAATCTTTGGGAATGTTCTCGCTGGTACCTTTCTGCCTGGAATGTTTTGTCTTGATATTTATTGAAATAGATGGAAATTGCAAGTATGGTTCAGCATTTGACTTTGAATGTAATTCAGACGAGTGCATATCCATGGACGTGGATGCATGTCGCTGTGTTGACAATGACGACACTGTAATGCCACTGACTGGCAGATCACTGGAATAACTTTTCAGAGTCCTCGCAGACACTGTGCTGACATCAAAAGGCAGATAACTGGAAGATGTACTGGAAGATGTACTCATATCAACTGTTGACACTGTATTGCCATCGATGGACTCCAAGCTCGAAAATGATTCCACATCACTTGCAGTCACTCTGATATCACTGACAGGCAGATCATTGGGGTCGATCACTAAATCCGTTGCAGAGACTTTAAGGGACTGATCACTGGAATATATTACCGTATGATTTCGCAAACTATTTTCACCAATTGGCTGATTACTTAAAAGTCTTGTCATATCACTCGCTGAACTGTGTTTGTCACTGATAAGCAGAGTACTGTTAAATGCTTTCCTACTGGCAGATGGCTTGATGTCACCGAAGCTTTTACTGCTGGAATAGGATGACGTTTTGCTGGTTTGACTAAAGGCTTGCTTCCTTGAATAAGTTACAATGACATCTTCAGAACGTGCAGGTACAAAGGCCTCTTCTGTATCGGGCAGAATAGAAGAATGAAGGTCTGCAGCAGTTTTGGGAATGTCAGCATCTCCTGTTTCTGACACAGATATAATTTCTGAAATCTTGGTTCTTGTTACATCAGTACCCCAAGCTCTTGAGGATGTAATTGGAAGAGTGGGCCTCCCTGATGGAGATGAAAACGCTGACCCAGCATTTTTGGACTCCATTACTGAAAGGCTATTATCAGTATCAGTTAACTCTGATGTTTTATGTCCTCGAATCTCTACAGGATTGTCATATAATTTTGTACTGAATTGGCGGCTGCTTGGTTCACTCATAAAGTGTGATTGAAGAGATGGAGTCTTCAAAAAGTCTGTATTTTGTGTAGATGGTGATGCTGAAGTCGATATAGTGGTCTGTAAAGAAGACTGAAGATCCCGACTTAGAGATGTCTCCTCATCTTTCTGCAAATCACTCGTTTCAGATACACTATCGTCCCGCGAAGTTTCGGAAAGTGACGTAATACCTAACAGAGACGTATCATTTGCGAAATAGGTTCCCTTGGTCGTTTGTGTTTCTTCTTCTTTTTGCGCCTTGAATACGTTAATAAGAGAATAGGTTACTAAGAAATCTGATGCTGATGAATATTTGATAGAATCTGTTTTCTTGACTATGTTCTCAGCATCTGTGGACCTAAAATCGCTGGATGAGTATCTGCTATTGACAGAACTTTCTAACGTACTGCGAATGCTGGTTGGGGTAGTGGATAATGTCAAAAGAGTTTCAGATATTTGATCACCATCTTCAGAGTATATAGAAGTGTGATGGTTTTCAGAATCACTTTGGGCTTCAATAACGTCAGTCTGGGAAGAATTACCGGATGCTGATGTGGTGTTTGATTTGGACGTAGACATAGAAACAACAGACTCAAACCAATCAGCTATCTGAGAAGCAGTGAAGTTAGAGTCTCTCAAAATGTCAAACGTTGATATAGAAGATGTAGACTTTTGTGTCTGATGGTTGTTTAATTTCAAACTGTCTGTTACAGTTCCCAAAGACTTCTCGATGAAAAGATTGTCCACTGTTTCTGTATTTACAGTTCTGGTACTGGTACCTCTACTTGTGCCAAGTGTATCACTATCATATTCTTCTTCGACCATGGAACTCTGGAGTAGGAGCTCACTTTGTGCATTGCCAGTCAAGTGCATTACAGACTCTGTGTGTGTGGACGAATCTAATGCTGAATCACTAAACACGGGATGTTTTGTACTTGAATCTGTATGATTAACCGAATACCTCGGAGAGATCACCTTTCTTGCGCTTGCTTGGTGATATGTTGTAGATCGGGATGGCACAATTGGTTGGTTTACCGAGGTAGAAGTCGTGGTAGATATTGAGGAAGTTTTGGATGAGGTGATAGACGTCTGAACCGGAACTGATGTCATAGTCATGTACGGTGATGCTCTGTTGTGTGATGACATTTGTTTGGATGTATGATAATCCGTCAAAGGAGGTGTTCCGGACTGGTGAATCCATCGACTTGTTTCTGAAAGTAAAGAAGTTGATCCTGCAATCCTTGTGAAAACTTTAAAGATATTTTACATATTGAAAACATTATATTTGACAATGTATTATATCTTTTGTGATTAGTAAGAATTTATACTAATAGACGCACGCAATAGTATTATTGGTATTAATTGTGTATTAATGTGGTTTTATATGAAAAAAAGTATTCTGCATTCGTTGTATCAGCAAAGGCAGCTTAGTCTTTGTTTTTGCATTGCCATTTTGCTTCAGTGAATAATATGATCAAGGTTCTGAGCCCCCAAATAACTTCTTGTCCAGCAAAGTGCTATGACTCGTTTGATAAGATAAGTGGGTCCAACAATAAAAGATATGTTATTCTAATTATGTCAGGTCACTATTATCTTTCTGAACTGACCGCCTCCGTGGTGTAGTGGTTAGAGCGTCCGCCCGGAGAGCGGAAGGTCACAGGTTCGATCCCCGACCGCGTCATACCAAAAGACGTTAAAATATGGTACTTGTTGGTCCCTGTCTGGTGCTCGGCATTAGTGGGTACAACAAGGACTGGTCGGCTCGGAGTCAGTATAATGTGTCTGAGTGGGGTATTCATGCTTCACTGCGGCATGGTATCTCAGTGGGCTAGCACTATAAAACCAGCTTAAGTCTGGGCTAGTACAAGCAGCCGCACATACACATACACACGCATGCACATCGTCATATGAGCGAAATATTCTCAAGCACGACGTTAAAACCCTCTTTCTGAACTGGGAACAAGATGTATCGCCTCAATATGCTAATTACATATCTATTAGAACCACACATTCTCTTCACATCAAGAAACAGGAAACCAGAAGCATTGCTAAATGTACTAATAACATTTTCATCAACGCCACACCTGTAGTGATTATTCTTCACATCCTCGACTCATTGTCACAGTTTGCTAATCAAATATTGAACTCGTAACATTAACTGCTCTAAACTCATACGTGTTTGAATATTTCCCTGTATACCTCAAACCAACATACTGTTTGTTCATATTCTGTTTGACCTGTTACCACCACTCAAGGTCGCCATGCCAATTTAACGCACGTTCGGCAAAATCTCATGCCCATGATTCACAATTTCACCAAGCACTGTTTATCAAACAGGAGGGGCATTGCTAGCGTTTTATCAAACCACCGCTTGTCTCAACTCCAGAGAGGTGTCAGCCACTGTAGAAGACTATAAAGGGAACAAGCCTGTGATAATGTGGGCGATCCTGAAATATGATCGTCATCGCCCTGGCAAGCCAATGCTGCTATCAATGACATTCACAAGGTGGTAGCACATTTTGTGTAAATAAGTCACAATCAACGATCAAACTGGAATTAAAAAGGTCAGATGAGAGTTAAACTGGAATGCCTTTTCTCCAGTAAGATGGCTCTCATACTGTAGTATATTGTTTGACACCTGGGTAAATATCACGAAAGCCCTTGACATCTAGTGTGAAGGTTGTTTGTCTGGTACGTACGAATGAATGGTGTATTCACGAGGCTAAACCCTCAGTGAAAGAGCAAATGAATAGACGTTGAAAGACGTGTTTTCTTCGGTGTACATGTAATGTAGAACACCTTTTATTATGCAGTTTCTCTGTTGATAGTTTTACCGTCAGTGACATAGATATTTTTTATCTTATTCACCCCGACCTTCGTAGGCAGTATATACTGACGAAACGTCCAATGCAAAAAGTAAGCAAAGAACATTAATTCATGACTGGTATATACAAGCGAACAATGGCGACATTGTCCGGGCAATGGATGAATAGGATTAACGCAATATACCAATGGTCTTAGAGCATTCCATTGGGACGCTAACAATGCCAGGTTTTCTGTTAAACTGACATGGCAGATTAGCTACAGTCATAAGAAACATTCAGGTATTCCGAGGGAACTCAATCAACACCAGAAATTCTTCATGGCTACAGTTAAACTGATATGGCAGATTAGCTACAGTCATAAGAAACATTCAGGTATTCCGAGGGAACTCAATCAACACCAGAAATTCTTCATGACTACAGTTAAACTGATATGGCAGATTAGCTACAGTCATAAGAAACATTCAGGTATTCCGAGGGAACTCAATCAACACCAGAAATTCTTCATGACTACAGTTAAACTGATATGGCAGATTAGCTACAGTCATAAGAATCATTCAGGTATTCCGAGGGAACTCAATCAACACCAGAATTTCTTTCTACACTTTCGAAGATAGTACAGATTCTAGTGCATTTCTCGTTGAGTACCATCCAGGATTCGAACCCACACCCTCGGAGTGAGACACATCATCGCCAGCATACAGAGTCTGCGATGTAACCAACTCGGCTTCCACAAGGATGGAAGACTGACAACTGTTAGTCTTGATCACGTATTTCGTGGCACACATATTCAACATAGATATTACTCTGTCTCACAGTCCCTGAACCACATTATTTTCCCTACTGCTAAAGCCCTAAATAAAGCAAGTCTAGATTTCCTCAGGCTCTGGTCTCCCTGGGGCTCCTTTTCAATGTAAATGGGTTTGTTCGTTACTATCAAAGTTAATCTACACAGATATATGAGCCTCATGTTGAGAAAGTCACACCTGTAAGCCGCACACATATGGGTCACGTACATGTATATACCTGCTACACATATAAGAGTCCCATGAATAAGAGCTGCACACAAAATAGACACAATTACTCCACCCTCTATCCCTCTCTCACTTACTCACTCACTCACTCATTACGGAACTAAGTCAGTCGGCTCTTTCAACAAGCATGGTTTGCTGAAGACGCGGGCCTTGACTGGTCTCTTTTTATAAAGACATAAAACTTTTATAGAACATTTAAGAATTTGATTTTAAAATATACATGCTGTCAAAGCACTTTTTTCTGTCAGCATTGCTCAAACATTGATATTCCCTGACAAGAACACGATCCAGACACAACTGTAAACAGGCAAACAGCCATCAGACAATATTTAACAATTAACAGATCCCAGTTGCTCGAAAGTCAACACACAGCTTCCCATATCAAATGCTTCGGGGATAAAATAAATAGCCTTGGATTATCCTCACGACATCTCTCATTTGCGTCTTGTGGAAACAGTATCCGGATTTGTTGAAGGTAAACACTACTGTCTGTTTCTCTTTCGAATATCTCCCCGACGTGTTATTTAGATACCACAGTTCTCTCTTTAGAGGTAGCGTGTTACCGCATCAAAACTTAATTCACTGTCAAGACAAATTGGTACTACTCTGTAAAGGAAGTAGTTAGATACGTGACAGATCCGTACTGAAGTGCTATATTTCCTGGCGTAGGTTCATGTGGCCTCTTGGGGGCTTGTTTTATTGACTACAGCAGGGCTGATAATATCATGACTTATATGTACGGCGTTGTGCAAGAATAAAAATTTTACACCCTTACTTTAAAGTGCAAAGAGTGATATTTTATGATATTAGTAACAATGCTAACTTTTCAATAATGTACTGGAGTTGAAATCCGTTTTATTCAACATTTACATTACATCTACCGATGAGTCAATGTATTTCGTGATATCATTAACCATATTGACATTTCAATTATGTACTGAGGTTAAAATTAGTTTTACTCACGAATTAAATTTTTCACTTTTATACAAATGAGACGAACAAAGGAGAAAAAGAGGGGTCAGTTTGTTTACAATTATTTATCTGTAACAAAAATTGCTGGACAAAACAAAGTATACGTCAATGTGTGAAGGTGCCTACATGAAACAAACAAAAATGATTACTTGTATTCCAAGTTGATGTATTATTTGTGTTTATGTTTAGGACCTCAAGTTTGTTTTTCTGTAAATGGATTCATTCTGGTAGCCTTTTGATAACACTTGTTTTGGTCAAATACAATTTTTAAGTGTGTATCACTTGTTCTGAATATCCTTTTCCTTTCCGATTTCTTAATGGCAATAGTGTAGATTTACAATAATCTGTCAGTGCCATAAAGCCTCATGAATAATGGCAACAGTGTACATTTACAATAATCTGTCAGTGCCATAAAGCCTCATGAATAATGGCAACAGTGTACATTTACAATTATCTGTCAGTGCCATAAAGCCTCATGAATAATGGCAACAGTGTAGATTTACAATAATCTGTCAGTGCCATAAAGCCTCATGAATAATGGCAACAGTGTAGATTTACAATTATCTGTCAGTGCCATAAAGCCTCATGAATAATGGCAACAGTGTAGATTTACAATTATCTGTCAGTGCCATAAAGCCTCATGAATAATGGCAACAGTGTAGATTTACAATTATCTGTCAGTGCCATAAAGCCTCATGAATAATGGCAACAGTGTACATTTACAATTATCTGTCAGTGCCATAAAGCCTCATGAATAATGGCAACAGTGTAGATTTACAATTATCTGTCAGTGCCATAAAGCCTCATGAATAATGGCAACAGTGTAGATTTACAATTATCTGTCAGTGCCATAAAGCCTCATGAATAATGGCAACAGTGTAGATTTACAATTATCTGTCAGTGCCATAAAGCCTCATGAATAAAGTAGGGCTGAGATAGCCTTGTGGTAGAAGCGCTCGCTCTTCATGCCGAAATCCGGGTTCGATTCCTCACATTCATGATAGTATTCCCCACTGTAATATTGCTGGGATATTACTACAAGCGGCATATATCCCTACTAACTCACTAATGGATCATGCACTCGCGCTTCTGGGGAAAATGGATTAAAAAAGCAATGAATTTATATTTTTAAAGGTAAATGCCCTTGTACACCTGTAATAAATAGATGGTCATTTATAACGTGTGACAAAATTGAACAGTCTTCCCTGAAGATAGTGTCTTCACAGACAACTTCGGGCCGGTTGGGTAGCCTTGTAGTTAAGGCGTTCGCTCGTCACGCTGAAGACCCGGGTTCGATTCCCCACATGGGCACAATGTGTGAAGCTCATTTCTGGTGTCCCCCGCCGTGATGTTGGAATATGGCTGAAAGAGGCGTAAAACCCA